GGAGAGATAGGTTGGGAGCTGGGGGGTGTGGAGAGAGCCAGGTGGGTGGGGGGTGGGGGAAGGAAACAGCGAGGGGCGAGCAGCTCCCCGCTCGCCCCTGGCTTCAGTGCCGGGTTGGGAGGGGGACGGGGAGGGAGAGGGGGGAGGGAAACAGCGAGGGGCGAGCGGCTCCCCGCTCGCCCCTGGCTTCAGTGCCGGGTTGGGGGGGGAATAGTGGCGAGGAGCTGGAGGGGAGAGGCAATGGGGGGAGATGGAGGGGGTGGAGGACAGGGCGGAACCGGCAGGATGGGGGGGTACTTACCTCCTCCTGCTGCTTCCTCCTCTGCCTCGCGGGTCCACCCCTTGTAAAAATATATTTCCTATCTGAAAATCATGCCCATCAGAGGAAACTTGCCTTTTAATTTCACTTACCATTGGAAGTTGCTTTTGGTTTTGGTTTTTGTAACTTAAGTAGCAATCTGTTTAAAATAGGTGAAGCACACAAGCAAAGAACAATGAAAGTTTGCAAACTAGTCTGGTGGTTTGTAATGTGTTCTGTGTCCATTCCCTTTTTATTCTCTTGTACTTGCACTCCCATTTTGGGATGATCAAACACCCACTGGTTTGGTGCACATCCTGTTTTGGCGGTCACAGACAGGGAGCCGATTTTTCAGTGCTGGTTCATCTATTCATTGATCTGTTCATGACTGTTTGGCAAGTTGCTTCACTATATTCCTACCTAACCATGCTGTGCACATGCATGGTCTCACAAAGCCCAATAATATACTACTATAACTTCTTTGATTCATAATGGCTCTGCTCATCAGGCAGTTGTTTAAATAGACCAGTCAGTCATAGATCAATACTTTGCTTTAATAAACTCCTACCCTTTGCTGTTTGTCTACTTAGTCCCTGTTGAGGCTCATTGCTGCTGATCAGTTTGAATCAGGAACATCTTATTGCATGTGCAATTTTGAAAAAAAACTGTTCAGCATGTTTGCAGCTGTTTAGCATGCATCAAACAGGCTGAGTGATCAGCTCATGTCTGAATGACACCATCAAATACTGTAAGTTCAAATGTCAAGCACATTTGTGGCAAAATGCGCAACATCCTTGTCCCTGTTCATACTGCATTCATGCCATTATCTTTCCCAATCTGTTAGCTGCAATTTTCTTAAACATTCTGGGGCAAATCCTGTCTAGCTGCTTTAGGTAAAGGAGAGCTGTTTCCCTCTCCCATTGCAGCCTGCTGTGCCTCTTGAAGGTGTCAGTGGCCCCCCAGAAAAGGGGGAGTGGGCAAAATGGATGTTCGCAGGGGGTGAGCACCAGAAAGCACCCTTGTCTTCTTCCTGCAAGTGGAAACAGAGAACAAAATCCAAGCCTACAACGCACTGGAGCAGTTGAGTTGTGGTAATCTTAACCCAGACTAGCAATTAGGGATACACATTTTTAATGTTAGCTATGAAAATCCAAACTGAATTATTTTTATGAAGCCTCTCTCTAAAATTACTAGGTGGTTATCTTTGGAAATAGCCATTCTGGTGCCCAGCTGCTCACTTTTTCATAGTTGAGTGAGGTGATGGAAGGGAAGCAGGAGGAACAGGGAGGGGGGGATGTAACTCCGCAAATGATCTAAGTGATAGGGGCATCTTCCAGCAAGAGAAATTGGATGTTCACACTGAAGAGGTTCATCCCAATAGGTGTTCCCACTAATCATTGTTGGGTCTCAGTGGCTTGGTGAGGTTACTTCATTTTTTTTCAGTAGCCCAGTTCCTCAGTGCTTCTGGGCCTATTTTACTCTTTGTGCAATCTGTTTCTGTGCTTTGATATATTATTTGTTTCTCTGTGATCATGCTAAGTATCCTAGAAGATTATTTCAAGTGGACTCTGCAAGCAGATACATAGTAACTCATGAGGTGGGATACTATTGGTATAAATTATACAAAAGATTATAAAGATGATATTTTAAGAAGTTAGTTGTTTTAAAAAATCTTAAAAGATATAACCACAATAAACTAGTCACATGTTGTTAACATTCTGGCTCCTGTTTGTGTTCTTTACAGCTCTGGAAGGAGAAGAAAAGGACCTTTTAAAACTATCAAATTTGGGACCAACATTGATCTTTCTGATGACAGAAAGTAAGTTGAATTACATGTATGAGAGATTAAACTGTTCAGCACACCAAACTTGAATGTTGTGTTGTATTGTCAGTACTGATTTAACTCATCTCTTAAACCTACTATCACCTAATTATTCTAAACACCTTCCATTAGCAAAATTGACCTTGAACAAACCTGCTGAATCAGACCCGAAGATCTGTCTAGTCTTAACATCTTGTTTCCAACAATGGCCAGGTTGTTTTATTACTTTAAATTGTGATAAAAACTACATAAATAATATTAAAAAGTCAAGCCTTTTTCAGACATGCAAGTTCAAAAGGGACCGCCTTTCCCCACATATGCCCCCAAGAGCACTACGGTCTGGGACTCAGAACCTGTTGGATGTCCCAGGTCCCCGGGTTGTGAAACGGGTGACGACCAGGAATAGGGCATTTTCGGTGGCGGCTCCTATCTGGTGGAACGAGCTCCCAGAGGAGATCAGGGCTCTGCGGGACCTAGCACAGTTCCGCAGAGCCTGCAAGACGGAGCTCTTCCACCAGGCATTCGAATAGGAGCCGCCATCATTATGGTACCATCTATGCCCTAAGCCTGTGGACAGGGTCATCACGATGTGGGCACTTTGATAAAGAGGATGAGACTTTAGGAGATCGCCATCTTGCTATTAGGAAGTGAGCACCGATTACTGCTTTGTATATATGATGTTTTAATATTTGATACTATGTATTATTTAATATTAATATTTTAATGTTTTATGGATGTACTATATCGGCAGTGTGCCTTGTAAGCCGCCCTGAGCCTACGGGGAGGGCAGGATAAAAATCGAAATAATAAATAAATAAATAAAACAAATAATTATATGATATTAAAAACCTGAACTGCGGTATGTTCATAAAATCTGTCGTAATATTGTGCACTGTTTATCCAGGTTTGAGAAAAAATAAAATATTGAAGAATACATGTTCCTACATTAGTTCAAGCCCATTTGATTACATAACACTGATGTATATTTTCAGAACTGTTTTGAGTATGTTTAGCAGCACTTGTTGAACGCAATCACCTAAAAATATTGGGTCCCTTTACATGTACTTACACATATTGATATGGATTCAGAACAAGGGATCATTGAGATCCACTATCCTTGAGTTGCCACTCTTGCTGAAGTTGAGATAGTTTCTTCAATTTCTGTCCCAACATTGATCTCATAAAATCTCTCTTTTTTCAACAATGTTTGTTAAGCTCCTGGAGAAGATAGTTAATGCCTTCTGGTTTGTGATTAGAAATGCTTTAATGAGGCTAGTCAGAAAGCATTTCTTCTCTGGGTATGAGCAGAGAGACATTACAGTAGTTGGTTGGAGTATTGAAATACTAAGTTCATGAAGTGGAAAAACAGCCTTAGTCAAGGGCAGGGGCACCTGCTCCCTTTCTGTTCTGTCACAGTACCAGGAGGCTGTACTAAGCCTTGCCTCTGTGCTAACTATTTCTGTTCCATAGTCTTTACTTATTTGTTTACTAAACATATATAGCACTTTTCAGAGGCAATTTCAAAGCAGTATATATCAAATGTAAACACTGTTTAAAACCAAATTAAGTAAAATGAAACATAAAATCCAAAAACATCAGTTGAAACTGTTTATCAGCACTCCTCTACCTTCCTATTCTGTTGCTAGGAATGTCATACAGTTGCCAGATGACAGACAGTACAATCCTAAGAACATTTTCCAGGGAGTAAACCCCATTGACTAGACCTGAGAAGATTCTGAGTTAGACCTGCTTAGGATACCACTGTAAATTGGATGTGAGGGCAATCTGGCTGTGACATCTGTCATTGATCACCAGGATTGATTTGGCTGATCTGGCTGGCTAGGCGGGTGTCCCCTACCTACCTCACCACTCCATGCTTGGTCGAGGAGGACAACTAACCCAGATAGAAGGAATGTACTCCAGTCAAGGGTATACAATAGCAGTGCTCCCCTGCTAGACAAGCTCAAGGGGATCTAGCTCATGTACCTCTCTCTAATATGAATATTACTTTATTTATGTTAGTGTCGTCATCTGTTGAGGACAGCATCTTGACATTTCTGATATGTCTGAAACAGCATAGTTAGTATTTTGAGAAGCTGAGAGAGGAGATTTTTGTAGCAGTAGCACTGACATGCATAAGCATGAGGAATTCTAGCACGACTCTTGCCTGTAATATTTGTAAGATTCCACAAAGTTGTTAACTTTCTTCCGCTCTTGGTTTCCCAAGCAGAGAAGTCTCAGGTTCCTTCCACTTCACTTCTGCCATCAGTAGCTCAAGCTGTTTCTAACTTTACATTGTAATTTCCCAGTTTCCTTCTCCACTCGAATCCCTTAAGCAGGTTCATGACCTCTTTGTGATATCTCAGGTTCATGCACCAGTAGCTGTCCTCTCTTCTGTGACTGTTCAGATAGGTTATGATGAGCTCCCAAGTCCTAACAGAGAAGGAAATAAGTGGCTCTTAGAGTCACTTGGCAGGCATAGCTCAGTGATAGAGCACATTTTGCACAATCACAGTAGTTTTAGTAATGTATTTATTTGCATACCACTTTTCTCCCCAGTGGGCATCCAAAGCAGTTTACAATACAAGAAAAAGAAATACAAGAAAGGGGGCAGGGGGGCTTCTGAGGGCACAGCAGTTTTTTTCTCTCTCTTGACTGATCTTCCTGCCAGCCCTGAGACTGTAACACTCAGGCTAAGAGCCAAAGGACAAAAGCACTTCACCTCATCCCTCTGGGCACACCCAGGCCTTTAAATACCTGTGAAGCAGGAAGAGAACAAAGTCAGCTAGTGTCAGATTTCCTGGTTCGCTTGTATAATGAGATCACTGAGTTCCTCATTTGGCAGGTCTCAATTGCTTTGATAGTCTTTATCTGGCAGGGCTTCATGGGATCTGATCACAACAGATACCATTCTGCATACTGGAAAGTGAACTGTGTCACAAAACAGGAATATAAGGCATTTAAGCTTTCTGGAGCTTGCTACTATTTGCCTAGTATGTTGCTGAAATATTTACCCAGTGAATCTTGAGTTCTGTAATAACAGCATCCTGTAGTGGCCTGAGGTTCACTGACGACTAACTCATGGATCTGCTAAATGTGTCCATGGTACAAGTATTGTAACAAAGGGTCTTAACAGAAAACGTGTATTGACCAGAGCCCCTACAGAAGCAGTGTCTGCAATAGGAAGGATATTTGGTCAGATTTTTTTTCTTTTTGCCACTTCTGCCCCATTGGGGATATCATGCTGCCCCAAACTGATGAAGATACCTATGCCCACTGGATGGTGTGGTGGTTTGGCTGACCTGGCATTAACGAGCAGCAAAATCAGTTATAAGATGTTACTGAATCAAACTGTAGCATCTGCCTTGAGTCTTTTTGGAAAAGACTGTCGTTGCTGTGAAATAAATAAAAATAAATGTCCTGGTGTGAGAAGAAACCTAATAAGGACCAAAATGCAGAAATGACTGTAGGCAACTTCCCCTTTGTCATTCTCTCCCCAGGGCCATTTTTCTTCTTGGCTGGCACTGTTCCTTCATGTGCTGCACTCACTGTACTCAGTACACCCATTTGGATTTTTGCTGTGTTTAGTACATGCAAATATAATGGGCATGTTTTTAGGGACCACAGGAGTTTTTTTATTTCCCTGAAATCCTCATGAGTCTGTTAATTTGCCACTTTTCTACAGATGGAAGTTGCAGCTTCATGAACTGACAAAGCTTCCTGCATTCGTACGTGTTGTATCAGCTGGAAATCTCCTCAGTCATGTTGGTCATACAGTCTTGGGAATGAATACAGTCCAGTTGTATATGAAGGTACCAGGAAGCAGGACACCAGGTAAATAATAGAAATAGAGTACTTGGATCATGCCTACATACATATAGAGTTAAATAATTCACTGTAACCTCTATTTTGATAATTTCTTAATTCTTGTGTCTTCATTTTGCAGGTTGGTTGACCACAATAATCTTTCTGTTTATTTTTTTACAAGTTCCCACCACTTGCAGATAGTTGTTGTTTTTACATAAACAGTTCATGGAGGGCTGAATCCTATGATTTGGTCATAAAAGGATTGTGGATCTTCTCCGCCTTATATCCAACCCACCTCCTGCAGCCCCTTCCAAAAGTGGAATATTCATACCTGATTTCAGGGTCGCCACTTTCTGGAAAGTCAGGGAAATGGAAATTGGTCAGGAAAAGACAGGGAAATCGGTCTGAAGTCAGGGAAAGTCAGGGAAATTGTGATTAAAATATATTCAAGCAGTGGATTTTTGACCTGCTGCTGCAAGAGCATGATCTGTTCTTGTGGCAACTGGAATAGAGAAGTCGCAGAATACAAGTAAAACTTATTGATGCCCTTTCCAGCCTAATGTGTTTGTTGAGCTCTGTCCCTGCATGATTTCCAAGGTCTGCCTGTAGCATTTGCAAAGCAAGGCTAGTTTAAACATTTAGCAATATACAAACTTTAAACATCTAACTGTTTTCATCCCTACCTGCTAGTACTTCATTTAACTTACATATAAAGATAAGCATGTTTTTGGGTCATGCATGTGTATGGAATGGACGTTTTGTCTCCTGCTAAACCCAGCAGTTTAAACTTCAGTGGGAAGGTAACAGTGTTCCATGCACCTTGGTATTTAGTCATGCCGGCAACATGACCACGGAAATATCTTCAGACAGCGCTGGCTCTTCGGCTTTGAAACGGAGATTAGCACCGCAACCCTAGAGTCGGATTCAACTGGCTTTCGAGCAAGGGAACCTTTACCTTAAACCCAGCACAGAGTTGCAAATGAGTTTTGTTGCTGTTGGATTTCACAGACAACTAGCACTTTCTACTCTGCACCATGCAAAGAAAATATTGCACATGTGATTGCTTGTTCCTGATGGAGTTTACAGAGTACTAGCTCTCTCACCCTCTTTCCTGACTTCTCCCATGCATAAAGGTTGCAAATGAGGGTTGTCTGCTTCTCTAGATTGCAGAAACTCCACCTCCTTTCTTGCTGCTGATCTGCAACCAGAAAGTGAAAGTGAAACTTTCCCAGCTTTGGAAAGTTCCCACTTGCCAGAAAACAAATCTGCTAACATCTTGATGTCAGGCAGGTGGTTCTGTGTATGGCTGTATCTGAAACCACATTTTGAAGATGGCTTCTAAGAGGACAGTTTTTAATATGCAGTGGCTGGATTTCAAACTTCATCCTGACTTCATTCCATGGCTATCATCAGTTGCTGGAGACAAATACAAAGGTTATTGTAAAGTGTGCTACAAAACCTTTGAACTAAGTAATATGGGAATTAAAGCTGTGGAGTCCCATGCACAGGGACCATTACATCAGAAGAACCTGAAAATTAAATCAAGTCAACTGTCCATCGCAATATGTTTAGGTTCAAAACTAAGTACAAGTTCAGATAATAAAACCAGAGAGGGTGAAAAGACAGCCCCTGTAAAAACTGGAAAACATGATCAGAATGATGAAAATGGCAAAGAATTACCCACCACACAAACTAGTATGGCTGCCTATGTAATCAAGGACTCTCTTAGGACAGCAAGAGTGCCTGTGGGCTTTGCAACTGGTGATGAAGAAGACGTCATTTAACTCTTGTAACATCATCAGTGAGTTATTCAAGCAAATGTTCTCAGATAGCCAGATAGCTCAACAGTTTCATCTTGGAAAAACAAAAGCAATGTATGTTGTTGCTTTTGGATTGGCACCATATTTCTCTGATCTTTTACTGAAACAGCTGAAACAATGCCAAACATTTTGTATCTGTTTTGATGATGCTTTGAATAAGGTGGTTCAAAAGGGACAGATGGATTTAGTTGTTTGTTTTTGGGATGATTACTGTCATAAAGTTTCCACACAGTATCTAACCAGTGTTTTTCTTCAAACTGCTACTGCTGAAGACCTTCTTCAGAAGTTTCAAGAAGGCATGTCTTCTTTACCAGTTGCAAAATTATTACAAGTATCTATGGGTGGGCCAAATGTAAATCACCTTTTTCTGAGAAAACTAAAAGAAGAAATTAAAACCAACCTTGACTGTAAAGAAGAAGGAAAAGAATTGATTGACTTTGGAACTTGTAGCCTTCATGTTGTACATGGGTCTTTTAAAACAGGATTGCAGGCAGTTAAATGGGACCTGAATTCAGTCTTACGCAATATATATTATCTATTCAAAGATTCCCCAGCTAGGAGGGCATCATACACTGCTATGACTGGAAGCACACTATTTCCCCTGAAGTTTTGCTCCACTAGGTGGTTGGAGAATGTTAAGTTCCTTGATAGAGCTATGACTGTTTGTGACAACATCAAGAAGTATGTGGAAGAAGCAAAACTCCCCCACAGTAAACCTGCAATTTGTATAAAAGCTGCAATGCAAGATCCACTCATGAAGTGCAAAATGGCTTTCATGAAATTGATTGCTGGAGATTGTGAGCCATTTCTAGAAAGGTTTCAAAACCAAAAACCATTGGCACCTTTTTTGTATGAAGAACTTTGTAAGCTAATCAAGAAGCTAATGAGTCATTGCATAAAACCGGAAACACTGCAAAACGTGTCTTCTTGTTTCTCAGTTGTTAACAATTGACATGAAATTGTCTGAGAACTTGTCTGACAGAAGCAAGGTTGACATTGGCTTTGCAGCAAAGAAGCTTTTGAAAGAAACTAAACTGAGTGAATGTCAAGTGGCCATGTTTTGCCTAGGGTGTTGAAACATGGTAGTAGCTGTTGTTGAAAAGTTGATTAAGAAGTCCTTTGAAGTTCAAGATGGTGCATGGCCTATCAGCATTAGATCCTACTATCATTTTATACAAGCCAATTCTTGGAATCACCAGAATAGGGGCTATTCTTGAAGCTCTACATGCAGCAAATCAGATCAATGACACAGTAGCGGAAAAATCAAAGCAACAATACAGTACTTTGACCACAGCTGCCCACAATGAGTTCAAGGCTTAATTTTAAGCATATGTTGCGGGAGATCCGGTTCCGGTTGCGACAATGGCAGACAGAGGTCGGGAGTACTCCTGCTTGAAAACCGCTGAAATTCCTCGTCTCCTGGGGCAATGAATACACTTTCAGTGTATTTAACCCTCTACCGAGTTCTTTGGAGTGAGAGCTCACAGGAGGGAGCGTATTTTGGTGAATGGAATAGCAGTGGCTTACTCCAGCAAACCGAAACTGCTCCGATGCGGGAGACAGGAGAAGATACTCAGCATTGTAGTTCTCAGTACTGAGGGAAAGCCAAGACCTGCGAACCACTTCAGACTCTTCCAGAGGAATTGAGCAAGAAATCACCGTGCGCATACTGACACCTATTGTTTCAATCTTTGACGACAAACTACCCCTTTCGATTTAGCTTTGTAAGAGACGTGATTGCAACCAGGGGAGCCACCATATTAAGAGGGGATGGTTGCAGTTGCGGTTGAGAAGAAGTGGTAAAGGAAGGAGAACAGCCCACTCAAAGTCTTAGCCTTATTTGCTCCATTGGAACAATGTTTAAATTATTATTCTAGCCTGAGCACAACAACTGGGAGCTGGCAGGCTCTGGACTTCCCTGGCGGCATATTTGTTTGCATGCCAGTTGTTAGCTTGTGGCTCTCTTTGAGGAGTAAAAATATAGGAGAGCTACAGGTGGACTTTCTGGGTGGCTAAAATTGGTGTTGTAGTCGGAGTGGAGCCCAGGAAAGCTAATATAAATAATATAGGAACTGTAAGAATCTGACTAAACGGTTAAAAAAAAAAGAGGTAAACAAAGAAGATAGAAGAAACAAGAAAAGAAGAAAAGATTTGGGGGAGGGGAAAATTGAAAAATGTTGCTTAATATTTGCTTGCTATGTTAGAGCATTAAGATATCGATAGAGTTTAGGCTTAATAATAGGATATAGTATAGGATAGTATATAGAACTTAGGTACAATAGCATAAGTAGATAGGTAAGGAATTTGGTAGAGCAAAGATAGGCAATAATAAACCTACTTAGAGTTTAAGCAGCATAGCTACAGTGCCACAGAGTTTAGGGAAGTTAAAGAGATAAGAAATCTATAGATTAATAGGTTTAGGATTAATAGGAAACCCAAAAATACACAAACAAAATAAAATAACACAAAATTAAAAAATATTTGAAAAACAAAACAAAGCAAAACAAAAAACAAGAAGTTCCTAAACTCTGTACTCCTTTATATTAAAGAAAATGGATAAGGTTAGTGGACTTAGAAGATCATTGATTCCACCACCCTTACTGAATTTAACACAAATGAATATGAAATACCTTCAAAATCTGATGCAAGAGTCGGTAAAAGCCACAGTGAATGTGGCAGTAGAAGCAGCTATGATAAAACCAATACAAACAAAACTAGATGCATTGGCAAACCAACTGACCACCCAAACAGAGGAAATTAAAAAACAAATATCTGAGAATAAACAAGAGATTACCACTTTAACAACTTTGACCAATAAGATGGAAACTAAAATTGAAGAAATAGATCAGCAATTTCAAAATGTGAAAGAAAAGCAAGACTTAATGGAGGTTACGATAATAAAATTGGAGATGGAAAAACCTTCATTTACTTTAAGACTACAAAATACCCGGGAAAAGAAGGATAATATAGAGCTAGACCAGTGGTCTAAGGTGTGGGTAAAATATATATTTAATTAACCAGCGCTACAGCATACAAAGGGAATGTATTTGGAATGCCTTACAGACGGTACGTGTCTTTAGATAGACTAAATAAATGCAACAAGAAGGAGACAGTTAACTGCTGGAAATGTAGACAGGGTGTTGGTATCTTGGTATGGTTGTTAGGCACCAAGTTTAAAAAGTATTGAAATGAACATTAAAGGCATAA